ACAACAACACCCTAAGACAGCACCGCAGGATTCAAGATCACAATAGTAGTACATACACATTGCCTTATTTAATCTGCCTAATAAACTAATGGGGTGGTATTATAATTTCCTGTTTTTTCAGATGCAGAAAAGACTGACATAGGCAGAGTAACCTTAGGGCATCCAGCTAATCAATAGTGGAGCCAGGCTGGGATTTATGTTTTTCAATAGCCAAAGGATAAGCTCTTAGCAGATCCACAAATGAAGATGATTTCCACTCTAAACCATATCAACCAAGAAAAAAAAGAATTTAGAAATAGATTTAACAGAAGTAGGTGCAAGATTGCTACACTGAAAATGGCAAAACATTGTCAAATAAATTAAAGATGTAAATAAATGGAAAAGCCTCTCAGGCTATAAGGTCAGAAGACAATATTATTAAGATAAGAAGAGACCCTATTTAATTGATCTATAGGTTCAACACAACATCTGAATCCAGCTGGACTTTTTGCAGAAACTGAGAAGCTCATCCTAAAAATCATATGGAACTGCAGGGGATTCAGACTAGTCAAATACTTTTTTTCCCCTGCAGGGTTGGAATCAAACCCAGGGCCTTCCACATGCTAAGCAAGTGTTTCTACCACTGAGCCCCATAGCAATCTTGAAGGATTCAAGATAGAATAGGATATAATAGGGATAGAATGCTTGCCTAGCATTCTCAAGGTCCTGGATTTGATCACCAGTGCCACATAAAAATAAAAATAAATCCTGAAAAAGAACAAAGTTGTTGGATTCACACTTTCAAATGTTGAAACTTATTATGAAGCTGCAGTAATCAAAAGAGTGTTACCAGCATGAGAATAGACATCTAGATCAATGGAATCAAATTGTGAGTCCAGAAATAGCTGGACTCTGTGGCACACACCTATAATCCCAGTGGCTCAGGAGGCTGAGGCAGGAGGATCTCTAGTTCAAAGCCAGTCTCAGTAACTTAGTGAGGTCCTAAGCAACTCAGCAAGACCCTTTCTCTAAATAAAATATTAAAAAGGGGTAAAGATGTGGCTCAGTGGTTAAACACCTCTGGGTTCAATCCCCAGTGCCAAAAAGAATCCAGAAATAAGTACTAATATTTATTGATTTTTTTACAAAAAGACCAGTATAATTCAATAGAGGAAAGAACAAATTGATTATTTATTTATTTACTTACTTACTTACTTACTTATTTATTGTACCAGGGATTGAACCCAGGATGTTTAACCACTGAGCCACATCCCCCAACCCTTTTTATTTTTCATTTTGAGACAGGGTCTCACTAAGTTGCTTAGGGCCTCCATAAATTCCTGAGGCTGGCTTTAAACTTGTAGGAAGACTCTCCTGCCTCAGCCTCCTGAGCCACTGGGATTACATACCCAGCTAGATTATCTTTTAAATAAGCTTTATTTTAGATGTACAGAATCATCATGAGAATATTCTTTTCAACAAATGATTCTGGGGCAACCAGATATCCACATTGAAATATGAATTTGTATTTCTACTCATACCAGAAACAAAATTACCTTCAAGTGAAACACGGGCCTAAATGTAAGAATGGAACCTATCAAACTCTTACAGGAAGACTCAGGTGTAAATAACCTTGAGTCAGACAACTGTTTCTTAACTAAGCCCGAGTAATAGAAATGGAGACCAATAAGTAGAACTTTATCAAAATCGAAAACTCTTATACTTCAAATAACACCATCAAGAAAGTGAAAGCACAACCCACAGACAGGGAGATAATATTTGTTAAATAGTTGTATCCAGAATACACAAAGCACTCCTACAACTCAAAAACAAGAGGACAAAATGCCCGTTTAAAAGATGCACAAAAGATTTGAATTGGCAGTTCACCAAAGAAGGCACACAAATGGTCATTTGGCTCATGAGAAGACACTCAACTTCCTTAGTCATCAGGTAAATGCAATTCAAAACCGCAAGGAGTAGCACACCACACCCACTAGGCAGACTGGACCCGTGCTGGCTAGGATGTGGGGAGAGCAGAACCTTCACGCATTGCTGGTGGGGTATAAATTACGTGGCACTTTGCAGAACAGTTTGACAGTTCCTCAAAATATTAAATATAGAGCTCCCATGTCACCCAGCAACACTACGTCTTGGTTTCTGCCCCAGAGACGTGAAAGCAAAAGTCCACCAAAAAACTGGTGTGTGAATGACCATGGTAACATTATTCATGGTAGCAAAAAGTAAACAAATGTTCAACTGATATAAAAGTAACATGCCATATATCCACCCAGTAGAATATTATTTGGGCATAAAAAGGCCAGGCACAGTGGTGCGTGCTTATAATCCCAAGGGCTCAGGAGGCTGAGGCATGAGGATTGCAAGTTCAAAGCCAGCCTCAGCTGAGAGGGAGGGTTGTGGGGCAGCATTAATGAGGGTGCCAAAAGCGAGGCATTAAGCAACTCAGTGAGACCCTGTCTCTAACTAAAATACAAAATAAGACTGAGGATGTGGCTCAGTGGTCGAGTGCCCCTGAGTTCAATTCCCAGTACCCTGCCCCCACAAGAAAGGAACGAAGTACTAAAATATTCTAAAACATGGCAAACTTTGATAGATTAGGCTAAGTGAAAGTAACCAGATATAAAAGACTGTATATTATATAATTCTATTTGCACAAAATGTCCAGGCAAGGCAAATCTATTAAGCTGAAAAAGAGATTCACAGTTGCTTAGGGCTGGTGGTGGGGTGATGGCTAATAGGTCCAAGGTTTTGGGGGGGATGACAAAAAATATTGCAGAATTAGATCTCTGCCGCAGTCCAGCTGCAGCAAAATAACCGGGGAGTGATGAGCAACTTGTGTAGATTGATACAGCAGGAGTAGGAGCCGTTTATTGTAGGACAGGAGCAGTATTTATACATTCCACACAGCTTATCTAATTAACATAAACTAGATACAGCAGTCAACCAATCAGGAATCTCCACACTTAATGGCTCGCTGGCGCCACCTCACAAACCACTCCCTCTGGCAAAATGCCAGGCGCCATCCTGACTTGTTTATAGAGCTTAACAGATCAGAGGTCACTCAAGTCTGTAAATATATTAAAATCCATTGAATTATGCACTTATGTGGGAAAACCTTATGGTATATGAATTTTATCTTCACTTTTTTCTTTAAGACTGGATGAAATGATAACAGGTAGACGCAACAAGTTTAGACAAGTGTTCTGAGGAATTCCTTGAACTTTCAAAGGTTTTTAAGAAAATTTCTAGTACACAGCTGCATTTGTTGTAGGGAGACAAGGTTCCAGATGGGGTACGGGCGAGGAGGTGCTATGGTACCCTTCTCTATCCCCAAGTGCACGGTCTGCCTGACTCCTGGGGTTGACCCTCACTGTTCATGTCAACCCCAGTGTATATAATGCAAGGATCTGGGTCTCAAACTTATCTGCTCTTTTCCTGTTTGCATTACCCTGCTGCTACCAGGTAACATGAAAATTAATCAGTCTCTATTCATCCTCTCAGAGAAATAAATACCTGCTTATATGAAGCAAGCAAGGCCACCAGGCCTCTGGGGAAACAGAGCTTGGGAGGCAACCAGAGGCATTTTCTGCAGAGAGGGAAGAAAAGAATAAACAATCCTTCTGCCAAAAATGCTTGGAACTTAAAGCACTTTCCTCAGCCCAAGGTCAGGCTCTGTGTGGATGTTGATAGTGAACCTGATCCCTGATCGGTACCACTGCTCCCTGGATGAGAAGCTTGTGGCTTTCTCTCTTAGGAAATTCACCTCTGCTAATTCCACCTGCCAAGGGATTCAGACCCCGCAGAGCAATTTAATTCCCCAGAATGGCAACTGACAGAGCTCCTGGGAATGAGGTAACCGTGCAGTGTCCCCTGTCATTAGAGACATCGACTCCCCGAGCCAAGAAGGGGTCCCCATGGCCAGACACCCCACCCCAGAATGTTGAGGGAAGGTTGTGGGGCAGCATTAGTGAGGGTGCCAATATCTCCTGACCCCCCTCCCAGAGGGGCTGGAAGTCCCTGGCTTTTGTCTTCCTTTTTGGAAGGAGACATTTAACCCCAGGAGAATCACAGAAAAGTACCACCCACAGAATCAGACACCACAGTGGGAGAGGGTACCTCCAAGGTCACCCTTGTCCTGGGCCCAGACACCTCCCCCACGTGGACGGTCCCCGCTCACCATCCCCCTCCTGGCCATTGTCAGGACCCTCACTCAGACCAGGAAGCAGCTGTCTGTGGCAGGACAGTGAGAAGGGCCGGAGACTGCTCTAGATCTGCCAGGTCTACATCTGCCCATTGCTCCTAGCTTCTCTTCCTACCCGGAACCACACCTTCCTCCAGTGCCTTCCCAGGTCTGCATGCCTTTGAGAAGGCTACCAGGTCTTCCTTCCCTTGGTCTTCTTGCTGTCCCCAGACTTACCCTTTCCTTTCACAGATCCTCCCACCCATGGCATCCATGAGCCCAGGGCAACAAAGTTAAGCCTGGGCCCCCTCCAAGGTCCTGTCCACTGCAGCTTGTGGACCCTGAATCCACCACACACAAGACCGTGTCCACTCGGTCTTTTTCTCCTGGCTCTAGTTTCTTTTCCCCTCTTAGACCCAAGGATAGACTTGCCCTCCAGTCCACCCTGAGTAGCCCCCTACTTGCCAAGTAGGCCAAGTGTTGGACCATCCAGAGGCCAAGAGGCCAGCTTCACCTAGATAGAACACCCTGATTTGCTTCCTGAGAGGATCTGATTTCAAGTCCTATCTTTGTTTTTATCTTCCTCTCCCATCATTCATTCCAGCTGCACAGCATAGTGGTTAAGAATGTGGATGGAGATCAAACAGTCCAGACTCTGACACTAACTATCTGTGAGGCTTTAGAGAAATGTCTTAACCTCTCTGAGCATCCATTTCCTTTTCTGTAGAATTAGGAATCATAGCTTTGTCGTGATAAACCAATAAATAATCTTCATAAAGCACTTAACATGGAGGCTTAAACATCCCACTGTAAGAATTCAATGTATGTACTCTATTGTTTTATTTTAAAATGATCATTTATTCGTTCTTTGTGTAGCTGAGTCTCCTGCCATACATGGGGACCCCCTTAAATCTAGGAAGAGCTGGCTGGTATTGGCACTCAGAGAGGGAGCTGGGGCCTATGGCTCTAGCACGCGGCAGAGAAGAGCGACCAAGCATGGATGCCGCCCAGGGATTGTGACAAGAATGGTGTCACCTTTCCACATCTCTAAACACCACTGGATTTCCTGGGTCAGGTGGGCACCACAAGGAGGAAGGCAGTGGACAGAGAGGAAAACCCTCTTCTTCCCTGCTTCTGTCTTTGACCGAGAGCAGCCATGGCTCTCTTGCCCAGGAAGGTGATGTCCTTTGGGGAGGCCTTGTGGAATCTGTCTGGACTGTTCCGGAAGTAGGAAGGGCAGTAGGGGGTGGGGAGGCAGCAGGAATGTTCTCCTGGCCCGGGAGAGTGTGCCGAGAGGAGGGCCTCTGGACATCAAAGGTTCCTTTTGTCCCCTTGCGAGTGGCAGGGCAGCCCGGCTGCTGGCGATGACTCAGGCCAGGCCCTGACGTCACCCAGGCTGGGCCACTGGCCTCCCTCGGCAGCCAGGAAACCGGCTGGGGAGTGGCACTCACAGCTGCAGCAAATCTCAAAATAAGGAGGCCGCTGCGTTCTCCTCTCCATCTCCCCACAGCACACCTTTCTTTTCTTCTTCTTTTTTTAAGACCTCATGGAAGGTTTTACTTGTAGATCAACTTTCCAAACCTAGGAAGTCAGAATGAGTGACATCATCAGAAAAATATGTGGAGCCAGTCTGGACCAGGAGTGAAGACCCACAGCAGGAACACGGTGGTACCTCCTGAGCCCAGGGAGTGGGCAGCGTCTGGGCTTCAGAGGAGCCAGCGCCTCTGAGTAAGTGAAGGCCCACCCTTGGCCCCCTCACTCCGCACCCTTCGTTGTGGGCGCCATCTTGTTCCCTGACACCCGAGGCCTGGCAGGCCCAGATTAGAGGGGGGAGCGGGGACTGCCTTTGGGAGACCTTCTCAATACAGGTCCAAAGGGAACTGATCTCTTTTTTTTCCCCACTGGACCAGACAAGAAAGTGGGGGGGAAAACACACACACACACACACACACACACGCTGAAACCCTGGGAAAAATATAGCCCCCCATCAAACCTCTTGTTTTGTCTCCTCTTCTTTCTTCCCCACCCCACGCCTCTGTTTCAAACTGCCAGAATGTTTGTGCAGAGTTCTGGACTGTTTGCTTCCTGGATCTTATACCGACCCGTCAGACATAAAATAAACCTTGTTCTAGGCAAATATGTGCCCTGTGCGACCAAATGGTATTTCCACACTTAACCTGGTAAAAGATGGCAGCCCTGGTGGGAAACTGTCTACAGCACTTATGTTTTACAGAGTATTTTCTGGTGGTCCTGGTATGTGCACCTTCATTATCGCATACCCTGTTTACAAAGGGCATTTTTGTCAGGGCAGGCGGTACTGAAGATTGAACCTAGGGCCTCACACATGATAGGCAAGCACTCTACCACTGAGCTACATCCCAAGCCCTTTTTATTTTATTTTGAGACAGGTGTTACTAAGTTACCCAGGTGGGCCTCAAACTTGCAATCCTCCTGCCTCAGCCTCCCAGGTAGCTGGGATTATAGGAGTGCGCCACCACACCGGGCTCAGAGGGCTTATTTTCATTCCAACTTGTGTCATCGCATCTGGGATGATATTAAACTCAATGTTTGTTGTAATTTTGTGCAAAAACTCTTCCATCTTTGCATAGCCTATAATTTATGAGTTCTAGAAGTTCCTACTCAAGAAATTTAAGTTTCTGAAAAAAAAAAATAGTAAGGCACACATGAGAACTGCAAAGCACATAGGATGATTTTCCTGGCTTCTGAAGTCATCCCCTGAGTCAGCATCTAGTCTTGTATAGCTTACTTAGCACAGTGAATGTGTTCTGCATAAAATCTTCATTAAATTGATGTGGGGGTGGTTTAAAAACGAGTCTTATTTTACAGGCAATAGAGAAACTTGTCATTTACAAGAAAACAGTGGTGAATTCCTTCGTGAACTAGTGCTCTTTGAAATCAACTACCACATTCTAATATATGTTTTTCTTTTTTTCTTTTTTAGTAGATCAGTTTGTCGCAAAGTGAGGCCCTGCCATACTTCTGTTCTTCTGGCTGCGTGATCTGAATGCTGTGACCATTAATTTGGTGAGTGTTATTTGTCCCTAGTGGCTGCTTAAATTCAAGTCTACTATTTCTACTTTTTTGTTTTAGGGTAAGATTTAAAGAAAAGAGGAAAAGGCACAGAGATGTCTGCACTTGACAATTGCAGGTATATTAAAAAGGACTGGTATTAAGGAAAGACAAATTGCTATAATAGAATCCAAAATGTACAATGGCTCAAAAACAATAAATAGGAGATTATTTCCTGCTCATGAAACAGTACAGGTCAGTGGAGCAGCTCTCTTCAATGCATTCATTCCGATCAGGGCTGGGACTGCAGCTCAGTGGTAGAGCACGTGCCTGGCACGCACAGGCCCCTCAGATCCATCCCAGCACCACGGGTCAGGATGGGCATAAGGAATGGTCAACCAACCATACAACAAAAAAAAAAACATTTGAGATTCACAGATTGAGAGAAGTTCTACCTACTGCAACATGTGTTTTTCACAGTTACCTGGGGTGTCTTCACTCCTGGATGGAAGAAGAGAGTGTGAAAATGTGCACGTGGGCCACGCACGGTGGCCCATGCCTGTGATCCTAGAGACAAAGGAGGCTGAGGCTGGCGGATTGCAAGTTTGAGGCCAGCCTGAGCAATTTTTGAGACCTTGTCTCAGAATAAAAAATAAAGGACTAAGGGTGTAGCTCAGGGATAGAGCACCCCTGGGTTCAATCCCCAGTATGAAAAGCAGTGGGTGGGCAGATGGGAACATTACACAAGGGAAATTTTCATGGGCCAAGACTAGAAGTATAGCATTTCATATCTCCTTACATTTCATTGGCTAAAACTCAGTCATGTGATCATAACTAAGCACAAAGCTGTCTGGGAAATGTAGTCCCTTCGTCAGGCAACCGCTTCATAGTGACAACTATGGAGAGCTCTGGAGAAGAAGTTGTTTTATCTGGCATAGAATATGAGAGAACCTGGAGATGCTCTAGGATAAGGTTGCAGCATGGAGCAACAGGAAAAATGAAACTTTATCAGATATTTAGAATTTTCTAACTGACCCTCTTAGATAACATCTGGCCTATGGGCAAGGAGCAGTGAGGCTTCTCAAGGTGCATCTGTCCACTGCGGCCCTAAGACTTTAGGTGAGCACCTGCTGCTGGGAGGCCTCTGAAACAGGAAGAGCATTCTTCCCCTATTTTTCTTTCCAGGGCCTCTTGCTCTGGGATCCTTCTGGTGTGGTCTCCTTCGTGTTCTGGATCCAAGCATACCATCTGAAATTGTTCAGTGCAATCCTGCTCCCCAACTATAAGCCATAGTGATTTATTGGAAGTCTCCTTGTTTCCTTAACACATATCTCTGTCTGTTCCTGGGGACTTTGAGAGATTATTGTATCTCATCTGTTCCAGATCGTAAGGGGAAATTTTCCCTAAGGAGAAACCTTCAAACAAAATTATTAGAGAAACATTTTAAAGAAGGCTGAAAAGGGCCTAGGTCAAGATATTAATACGACACCCCAAAGGAGTTGATACATAACTCTAACTTTTTCTGTTCAGGAAGTTTCAAAATATTTACTGAAATAATGTGAGGTTATTAAGCCCTGTTTGGAGAACCCTTGGCTCATTTTCTGTTTTCTGTAGACTCTTAACTGTTGTTGATCTGGGTTGAGTTTTCCGCTCACTGGTAAGTTTCAGTAACCACATGGTAGGTGCCTTATGATGCCCTTCATGTAAAGGCCTCCAATAACAACAAACTTGAGCCTTTGTCTGAGCTGCCAGGTACCTACTTCTCTCATTTTGTCCCCAATAGCTAGCTAAACAGTCTGGTTTCTGATTAAATGTTGCCACTGGACTTGACATTTCTGGCACCCACATCCACACCCTAAACAGCATGCATTGTCCATTGTATGAAAAGGTCGGTCATTGGCCAGTTTGACTCAGCCTCTCAGATAGCTGACGACAGAGCCCAATGCCTGGTCTGCTCTCCGAGTCCTGCTGCCTAAACTCTGCTCAGGCCCCTGATACCAGGAGTGGGCTGAAGAGGAGTGGAATAGAATAACAAGTTGATTTTTGGCAAAAATACTGCCACCTCTGGAGATCCATTTTCCCAGGGGCTGAAAATATCTCCTGAGCTGGGAGCTGACTCTGCCGATAGAGAAAGTCAAAGATAAAGACAGGTTAATGGGGGACTGTGGTGCTTTCTAGAAGCAGAAAGCCAAAGAAGTAAGTTGAGAACAAGTACCAGTTTTCAAAAGCTGGAGCCACGTGGGGATGATCTATTGCTGGAGTCCCAGCCTAACAGGGTCTCCCAGGAAGGGCAGAGCCCAAGGCCCCAGTGAAGGAGGAAAGATGTCAGTGTCTGTGCATTAGGCACACGGGCTAAGCACAGCTCGATAATTTCAGCTGTCATCTGACAGGACTCCTCAAAGCTCATAGTGCGTTGGAATTGACATATGAGTGGTGGCTGGGTGGGGGAGGGGTCAACATCCTGATTTCTAATTTTCGGCTGCATAGTACAGCAGGAAGAGGGGTGTGACCACGAATTCGCATAACCAGAATTTCACTGCTGTTGACACTTAGTGTTTGAAAGAAAGCCACAGATCTTCATGACCATTTGACAGGGTAAACTCACAGACAACACCATCCAGGCAGGGTTGTATATAAGTGCACATTTTATAAATATTTTAATATCTGACATTTTCCCCAATAAAACATCAAAGTAGGTCTCATGGAAGAAGCTAGACTCTCTTGAACTTACCTTAATTTGGGGTTTTATAATTTTTTTCAGTTCTGATTATACATGAGGTGTATCATTCACATTTCAGAGACCATAGTCTTTGCAGAGAGACCTCTGAAGGTCTTAGTCTGGCTTCCTTGACCCATGCTGAGCAGATGTGGAAGAACACAGCAGTCTCATGTGGCTGCGCCTACATCACTTGCTTGTTCTAACCCAGAAGTTTTCTAATTGTCAGAGCGCAGAAGTGTTCCCTTCCCCTGGGTCAGCATTATAAAATTTCTCCTGTTCCTTTTAGAGGGTTTTGCAATAAGCCCGCGTCATATTCACCAAAGCTAAGAATTCACAGTAATGGGGCTTTGTAATTTCTCACGCTGAAATCCCCTAATTTCTTGTCAAGAACCAACTTGGAAAACACCACACTGGAGACTTCGAGTTTTGTTATTAACTCAAGCAGCCTCTGGTTTTCATCAGACTTTTAATGCTTCCTCCCTCCTCTAAAATGGTGTTTCTGAAAAGCGTAATGTGGAGGCTCTGTTAGAACAAGTAAGGTGGATGCCTGAAACGAACAGTCTGGGCAACTTAGCAAAATCCACATCCAGTCAATGAAAGTAATCACCTTCATTATGGTCAGTACTAGTGTTTGGGCTTTTGATGTTGCTATTAAGAATCATTGTTTTATCCCAGTGGCTTGGGAGGCTGAGGCAGGAGGATTGTGAGTTCAAAGCTAGCCTCAGCAAAAGCAAGGTGCTAGGCCACTCAGTGAGACCCTGTCTCTAAATAAATACAAAATAGGGCTGGGGATGTGGCTCAGTGGTGGAGGCCCCTGCATTCAATCCCCAGTACCCTGCCCCCACCCCCAAAAATCATTGTTTTGGGGAAAAAAAATTTTTTTTTTGTCTTTCTTAATTTTCTTTCATCTGGATTCTTAGCACCACTCCTAACCAGCCAAAGCACATGGGGTAGGTTTCAGTGCCCACTTGGGGAACCTTGACTCTAGGCCAGACGCCTAACTGAGAGGCCGGCCACTAATCTCATTCAGTGAGATGTTTGACCTGGGATTTGCTGAAATCTTCCAGGGTGGATGGATGAGTCACCTTTCTACCAAAAGATGATTCCTGGAAACCTTTGGGGGCTCCTGGTATGTTGGGAAAAGGAGATTTAGAAACCACTCATGGAAGCATTGACCTTGAGTGGGGCCTCCTCTCTTTGTCTGAGAGCCTCTGATCATGAGTGCAGCCCTCAAGGGTGATGGGGGAACTTCTCTCCATATTCCAGATCTGACAGGCATCATCCTAAAACTCAGCAAGGAGGTGGCAAGGTAGCAAGTTCTTTTTCTTTTCTTTGAAAAAATTATCTTTTTACTAGAATCGTAACTATTCTCTGAATAAAACCTGGAAAATTAAACAAAATATCAAAAAGAAAATAAACTAACACCAAGCCACAATTCAATGTAAATATTTTGATGAAGAAGTGCTTTTTAATTTTTCTTGTATATATTCTTTTAAAAATTATTGAGATGAGCCGGGTGCAGTGATGCATGCCTATGATCTCAGAGATTGAGGCAAGAGGATTGCAAATTTAAGGCCAGCCTGAGCAACTTAGCTGTCTCAAAATTAAAAGCACCCCAGGTTCAATCTCCAGTAGCCAGGGCAGGTTTTGCTCCACTTTCTACTTAACATGTAGCAAACATTTTTCAAAGTCACTAAATGCTCTTTGAAAACACAAGATTTTTAATGTCTACGTTTCCATCGTATGGATACATCTTAACTTATCTTTCCATGGACATTTTGAATACCGCCCATGTTGCACTGTTATAAATACATAAACATTCTTAAGATAAATCCTGTGGACATCTTAGGAAAAATCCTTAGAAATTGGAGCATATGGTTCAATGACCTGCTTTAGAGCTCCTGATGAGCACTGGTGAATAGGCTCCAGAAAGGTTTCAGTGTCTATTTCCAAACCTTGGTGCCCTTTAGTTTCTCATAGTCAAATGCAGGCTCCCAGGCCATAGTGGCATCAGAACCTCTGAGAGGCATCCCAAGAATATGCATTTTAATTCATCCTCCCAATTCTTACGCACATTAAAGTCTGACAACCAGTAGCATGCAATATTCAACTAGTTCAATGTACATTCAATTTGACAAACATTTATGATATAAAATAAGTAAAGCAGGGCTGGGGTTGTAGCTTAGTGGTGGAGCACTTGCCCAGCATATGTGAAGCACTGGGTTCGATTCTCAGCACCACATATCAATGAATAAAGATCAAAATGGTACAAACTTTGGGCTGGGGTTGTGACTCA